TGTGGTTTTTTTTTATTGTTTTGGTTTTTTTTGGGCTTGGAAACTAGGGCCCCCCCCCCCCCCCCCTCCGGTCTTTCTCAAGGGTACAAATCAAAGCACTTGTATTTGTAGACGTCTTTCTTACCGCCTCTGTACATTGTACTCCCCGTCCTTTTAAGGCACCCAAACATCAGGAGTGACAATTTTCTGCAAATACTTCATGGTTTCAAGGATACGCTTCTTACTCGGCCTGCCTCTATTTGAGGCGGGCGTTGCCGAAGGTCCCACGACTAACAAAGGCAACCACGGTGCCCCCCCCCCGCTCTTTCGCGTAAATCAGAGCTGGGTACGAGAGATGTACACCGACGTGAACGTCGTCCAGGCCCACAACAAGGCTAACGCCGTGGAAGTCGGCGACGCGATGAAGACACATGCCGAGATGGGGATGGAAGGCCTGCGGCTTCGGGAGGAAGAGTTGCAGCGACAGCAGCAGCAAGGTGGCACGGCGTACATGGCCAAGGGAGAGAGACATAGCGCCCACGGGAGCGCGAACACGGGTGCTGCCCAACATCAAAATCAACATCATGTGAGGGTTAGGGTTTGCCTGCGACACCAGTATCGGCGGTGGTGTGTGTGACTTCGGTGGCGCTGTAGGCACATGGGTGTCGTGGAGTGTGTTGCTGGAGAGGGGACGTGTTGTCGGTCTCTGTGCACAGTTCGTGCATTAGTGCTGTACGGTATTCATCGATATTCTGTTGGGGTATAGTATCTGGATTCTGAACGTCAAGATGACTTGGCGCGTCGACCGTTCATGCCGGACAACAGTCTCATTGTACAGCAGACATGGAGTCATAGCCTGGTGCTAATGTTGCTGTTGTTGGGCCTTTTTCGTGATGCCCGCCGTGTGCTCTTGTTCTTGACGGCTTCTTTCTTGCACCACTTTCAGCAGGGAGACAAGCAGATCGACCTGGACCCCGAGACCTTCGAAGTGGTCCGACAGATACAAGAGCTCCGGAACCACCTCAGCAGGACCGGCTCCTCACAAGGCAGCGCTGCTCCCGGTGCTGCCACCACAGCAACCGCCACCGCCGCAAATGGCGCTACGGCATCTGCCACTGCCAACGATGGTGCCACGGCTGAAGCTTCTGCTGAAGCTACCGCAGGCGATAACTCCGCCCCATCGGCCACTGCTGCTGATGGTTCCACGGCCACAGCTACCGCCGCCGGCGGCAATACAGCATCTGCGAGCGATGGCGCTTCGATGGCGGCGGCGGCGGCGGCGGGTAAAAGCCCGAAAGAGATTATGAGCGACGAAAAGCTGATCAATCTCTTTTTACTCATGGCGGGGCGGGGCCCGAATTGGCCGCACGACGGCCCCGGCAGAAGCACCGGTGGCACAGGAGAGAGCAGTAGCGGCGGCGGCAGCGGTGGCAGTGACGGTAGCGAGGCCTCCGGGGGAGGAAGCGGGGCACAAGGCGTGGACGTGGACGGAGTGGCCGGCCTCACCGCGAAGATGTCCATCGATGATGGAGCGGACGCTCCGAGCGGTCAAGAGGCTGAGATGCCACCCCCACCGCCGCGACAGTGGGTAGGGGCTGGGGCGGGAGCGGGGGAGCAAGGGGGTGGAGAGCATGGGGCATGGGGCGGCGGGATGCAGCTGGCTCGTGTGCACGACGATACGGTAAGTCTGAGAGCGGGACTTGGCACGTGACTTCTTTAAGAGGGAAGGCTGTTGTGGTTGTACGGTGGTTCTGTTTTGGTTTGCTGCACGTGCCCCCCTTCTGCGTTACCATTTTTTTTTTTTGTGTGTTTGTGCATGTTGTGGTGGCGACTCGTTTTTGTCTCCTAATCTCATATACCCTTTTCTCAGCGAAAAGCCCCCCCCGAGCCTGGTCCGGTGAGAACCCGGCGTGCTCCGTCCCGGCTTTGTAGGGATGCGAGGTCAATGGTCAAACGACTACGGCATGCACGACTATGAGTACACCCCCCGCTTCTACGTTGTGGCCATCGAGTGTTTGACTGCTGATATATGCGGCTTGGTCATTGTCGCCGATGCTGCAGTAGCCGCTGCCGCCGCTACTCTAGGAGGCCGTAACTTTGGTATAAGGAAAGCCTCGAAGAAGTACGCATGTGTGCTTCAAGTCGCCGCCAATGTTCTAGAACTCTAGAGGAGGCCGTACTTTTCCTGCAAAGCAAGGGATCGAAGATGTGCTTCAAGTCGCCTTCTTTTCATGCGCGCGCGTCACCCCCCCCCCGTCTTGGTTGTCGTCTCGGACAGTGCTACTCCGAGGTTAAGCAGGCGCTTCAGATGCTCCAAGAGGTAGACAGCGTCCTGGAGCAGCTGGCCCTGTTCTGGGCCAACAGCGAGGTTATCTTCGACGTTCTCCTGAGGAAGGGCGATCTCGTGGAGAAGTTCGTCGCCTTTGCCAACAAGCCCCGCCTCCTCCAGCGGTTCAGGGAACGGCTGGCGGACTACAAGCGATTCTGGGAGGGAGTACAGGTGAGGTCTTGGCAGTGGCCTTCGCAACGTATTTTTCTGTTAGGTAAGCATGTTGGATAAAGCATGCACTGGGGTGGGGTTAGGGACTAGGATCTGCGTTCCCCCTCCCTGTTCTACTTCCTCAAAAACTTATTTTTTCTTGCGAAGGCGGTCCGTTTTTGGTTGTGTGATACTCCCCGTAGAGGTATGGTGTTTTTTGGGTTTCCACGCTCCTGCGTGGGATATATCTTTTTGATAGATGAACAGGGGCTTGCGGTGCCATGCTTTCCTGGAGCAGCATGCTAAAGCCAAACCACCGCAGCAGCGCGGAGGTGCTCCTGGAGCTTGATTCGCTCCTTCTTTAGTGTGCATTTGAATTTGTTGGTGCGGATTTTTGCGGATTGTTTACAACTGGACGCGGCACCTTCTTGAATGTTGCGCTGTGGTGCTGCTGGTTTGGTGCTGCATGTTCAACTCGCGGACGTTTTACTCGTGACACCGTGCTGTTCTCCCCGCGTTTCCCGTGTCCGATGATCGGACGTATTCGTGCGGTCCAGAGCGTGTGCAACAAGTACGTCTGCGGCCATCACAAGTGCGGCGGGTTACAAGGGGCTTCGACTCCTAAGGGCGCTGCACGACCACGCTCCGACAGCATGGGCGCAGACGCGGGCGCTACCGCCTACGACGGTAGTTACAACGCATCTAGCAACCGCACCGATTCGAACGCCTCGTCGGTAGGCGCCCAATCGGAAGCGGAGCCATCGAAACAGGGGTTGGGGGACGGGGGTGGATGGGGAAATGTCGACATGGGGTTTGCGAGGTGAACAGCAATTAAATCCCTGGTCACATTATGTTAGATATTTCCCCCCCCCGTACGTGTGCCAACGAAACGCAAGCGGGGAGGCCGAGGACGCTGAGCCGTGCGAGGAACATGGTCGCTATTGTAGGCGGCGGCAGGAGCTCAGGTCATCGCTGATTTGCTCACACTCGTTGCTTCGTCTTGTGTGTGTGTGGAGTTACAGTTACAGGGAGAGGTTACGGTTTCGTTTTGTTTTTTTTTCGGGTTACAGGGAGGGGTCCACGGGTCCCTCCGCTGTTGCACCGCTGTCTGTTGACACAGTTCAACAGAGAGAGAGGGGGAAAGAGAGTAGGCGCGTTCGGTGTTGTTTTCTTAGTCTCTTCTGTGGCAGGCACTTCATCGCCCAAGATCCCGTTTATTTTAGCAGTGTTTTGGTGCTTGAACTGAGGTGATTTTGCAGAGGTATATTCTCTGGTGCTGTGTACCACACACAGCAAACATTGTTGACAACAAGGAAAAACGGCAAGTGGAACGTCACTCGCTGCGGTATTGTGTTTTTTCTGCCGTGCGTATCGCGGCACCATTTTTTTTATTGTTTTCGTTTGGTTGCCCTGCTCTTTTCGATCCTGTTTTTATGTTTTTTTGAGGCCATGGAGACATTTTCTGCCTTTCTTGTGGTCTCTGTGTTTGGCAAGCCTCAATTTTGTAGCCTAGTAGTGACCGATTTGTTTTTTTTAGTTTTGGTTAGGGTTAGTGCTCCGCACCTGCAGGGCTGTGACCGCAGCTCGTGTGTTTGTCCGGGGGTCTGGAATGTAAGTTGATGGAAATGTGTCAAGTGTGCTAAGATAACTAGAAAATAATATGGTCGCAATGAGCCCCATTTGAGGCGGCCAAAATAAGTAGACGAAACTAGAAGAACAGCACGGGGTGACCTCGGAGGTATGTATGCGTTTGTATGCATAGCATAGGGTGGCAGAAAACGAAAGTTTACCTGGGAAGTGCTTGAAGTGTTCGGGCTTCACTGAGGTCAGTGTCCATAAGTGATATCACGGCACTTATGATGAATCGATGATTCAACAATGATACTGGTCACGACGGGGGGTTCGATCTCTAAAACCGTTACTACACTACGTGTGGCGCAGCGTTCCTTCATGCGAGCGCGCCAGTGTTCTCGCACGCGCCCCAACAGCAGTCATCGAAACGTAGGCACTCTCTGTGCGTACTCTCTTGTCTCTACTCCACAAAATCATGTTTTTCTTGACGCCCCGACAACAGTCATCGCTCAAAGGAAACATAGGCTCCTGTATGTGCACTCTCTTGCCTCTACTCCCAAACATCATGATGTTTTTCTTGACGCCCCAACAACAACAGTCATCGCTCAAACGAAAGTTACGCACTCTCTGTGTGTACTCCTGTCTCTACTCCACAAAATCAATATTTTTCATCATATACGCATACGAAAACTCATTTCCGTCTCACACGGCAACCTTGGGGGAACTCCAATTGAGCTCCATCGAGCACCCTACCCCCCCATGCCCCACACACGGTGATCGTCCTCAGTCGAGTGGGCCACCTCACTCCGTCGAGCGACTGTTTGCATCCCTGGGTCAATTCCAGCTCCGAGAGGCCCGGGGGTAGGTTGAGACATCGGATGGACTGACGAAAGTTTTTGCCTAGCGACAGCTTTCGCAGGGAGGGCGGCCACACGACCTCTGCGATTTCTTGGTTGAAACACCGCCCCATGCGTAGCTCCTGCAGGGAAACCGGCCATCTTACCCCGGAAATGGGTTGGTTGAATCTCTCCCCAAACGATAGCTGTTCCAAGAGGGCCGGAAACGCGGCTCCGCTGATTGGCTGGTCAAAGCAATCCCCGAACGAGAGATGTTGCAGGGCAGCTGGCCACGAGACTCCGGCGATGGGGTTGTTGAACCTGGACCCGAACGCAAGCCTTTGCAGGGAGGACGGCCACTTGATTCTGGCGATGGGTTGGTTGAAAACATCGCCGAACTCGAGATCCTTGAGCGAGTCCGGCAACAGCGGCATGACGTCACCAACAGATTGGTGAAAGTTCAAATCCAGGCTTAGCCTTGTAAGTGCCCGCGGCAAGCAGGCTTCCGGAAAGCGCCCGCCTCCCCTATCGCTGACATAAACACAACCCAGCCTGAGCTCCTCCAGAACTGGAGGCCAACGGACGGTGTCGAGCGACTGGAGGAATCCGTCCGACAGCGTCAGTCGCTTCAGGGAAGCGGGCAGCCGGTTACCACAGCCATGTTTCGTCTCCGCCGCCGTAGACGTAGCCTCCAGCGGCAGGGTGCTGTTTCCTCCCCCAATATCGTGGCCGAAGCCTGCGCCAAACGATAGAGTATGTAGGCGCGGAGGCCAGGAAACGCAGCTAGGACAGGTATCAGTTGCCATGTATTGGACCAACGGCTGGTCAAAGCTGGCTCCGAATGACAGCTGCTCTAAGGACGCCGGAAACACGACGCCGACGATTGGTTTGTTGAAGCTGGCGCCGAAGGTCAATTTCAGCAAGCGGGGAGGCCAGTCTATCCCCCGGACGCAGCGGTTGAACGCCGCGCCCAATCTCAACTCAAGCAACCCGGCGGGTAAAGATACGCCAGACAGGTCATGTTGGAACCTCGGGCCTAGGTCCAGAGTAATCAAGGTCTCGGGCCAACGAAAGCAGCCCGTGTTGTTCCTTGGGACAAGCGGCTCGTTGAAATGAAACCCAAACCTCCAGCACGCCACGCCCTGCAGGAAGGACCGCGCGTCGACGACGTCGCGAAAAGGTCGATCCCACACGACCGTTGACGCGCGGATCCCTAACAACGTCCGCCGCGTGGTGGGAGGAGATGGTCTCCTGCTGTCGCTGGTGGTGGTGAAGACTGGGGGGGACAGTAGGCACGCGTTCCCACCCTTCGGCTGCCCCGCTCGTGGTTTTCTTGCCCACAGAGATGGCGGTGTGTTCTGACCGACCCAAACACGGCAAGGCACGGCGCTCCGGCAAGCGTTGCACACGTCGAAGGACACCAGGCGCAGCTCTCTCGTGGGCGAGAGCCATCTGTCGTTGTTGCTGCTCTGCCCTGCTCCCTTGTCGCCGAGAAGGATTCGCAGCGCGGCGAGACACGGAACATCCTTCTTCTCGAAAAGTGTGCGGGGAGGGGGTAGCCGCGGGCCTGCGTAAAGCGACGAACGCCAGACGACATCATCACGTCAGGTAGGGGGCAATAACGCAAGGTGGCAAATAATATTGAGGGCATTCTCTTCGCTGCGAAATAGTCAAGCCGAGAAAAAATCGGTACAACGTTAACGTTTCTCGATAAGGGAAATTAGCGGGAGGGATAGATAGAACAAGCGGACTGGGGGAGAGAATATATGGCAGCAACGAGTTTATGCGTGTGTGTGTTAAATGTAAGCATCACATAGACAAGGCGTGTGAGAGAGAAAATAGACAAGAGGCAAGAGACAGAGAGAAAACAAGAGAAAACATGTCTGCTAAAAGCGGCGTCCGTGTGTATTGATGTTTCACTGTTGTTGTGTGTCCACGACAAGTCGGGGCCCACTATTTAGCAACCCTCTTCATCCACCGTTGACGCAACCTCGTAGTAACATAACATTACCTGTCGCGCATAATGGAGTTACCGTGGTGTGTGTGTGGTCAGGCCATGGTCACGGTATCGCCCGTGTGATACGAGGGCTATGTACGCTGAGGGTGCGCCAGCATGCCTCACGGGTATGGTACAGTCTACACTGCTACCCGCTCCATGTACAATACCAGGTTGGACTTTTTGGACTGGATAACAGCCATCATTGGCGGCGAATGCACCGTATCCGGGGGGAGGTCTCTGCTGTGCACCGTCGTTGGTGGCAACTAGACTACTACTACACGGTTCAGTCGATGCGACATGTACCGTAAGAGGCGGAGAGGTGGCACACCCCTTTAGCCCGACTTTCAAGCTGGATTGCTCCACGACCAAGGGGGTGCGGAGTGCGCCCGATAATTCTACGGAAAGCCCTCGACGAGAAGATCAAAACCCACCATTTTGGTGTTGGTACAATCTTGGTTGTGGAACAATCCAGCTCTGAATATCGGTCTATAGACTAGAGGGGGTGCCATGCGGGTAGTTGAAGTGACTGCTGGCGATCTTTGGCATCATCTGTACGCTTCAAATTCAAATTTCAAAATTCAATGCTTTCGAGGAAGAGGACTTCAATAGCACCATATCGCTTCCGTAACGGGCCGTGGGCTAAGACCAAGTGACGATAAAGCGCGGCTGGCGGCGATACTATGGCGGAGAAACAATGAAGTACACTACGTGTGCTGACCAGACAAGGTCCACGGTAAACTACAGCAACAACAGCAGGTTAAGCCGCCGGCAGTGCAGACAGCATCGGAGCATCGGGCGATATACAAAAGTCTACCCCTCGTAGCACCCACAGGATCACACCGTGCCTTGCCATCACCACTGACCTCCGTCCTCCTCTTTCATTATGCCCTCGCTTGCTCTCCGCGCTGGTGCAGTGTGCAGTTCGTGATGGTTCAGGGTGTGCAGTTCGTGATGTATAGTACATGGTACATGAATCCAGCCTACATCTGCAAACCAGAAAGTCCTATCCGCAGAACCCCCTTAATTCCCCCGCTTCCCGAAACACGAAACACGCATTCACAACAATATCACCACGCTCTCCTCTGCAGTCTGTGTCCGGCTCAAGAGAAGGCTTTCATCAAGCGTCCAAAGGTCCACTCTCGCCGTACCTTTGGAAAGTGTACATAACATCAGTTAAGGTCTACCCTCCCGAGCCAGCGGTCCTCAATCCTCATCTTCTATCTTCTGCAATCTTCAACCTTCGGTAGCTTGAGGATCCGCCGCACATCCAAATCCAAACAGACAGCCCGGAGATCCAAACGATGTCACGATTGGCAAGAGGAGCAAGAGCAGCAGCAAGGGGATATGCATCATCGTCAATGCGATTCCCTAAGCTGAACGGCGATCTGGACGTTCCCGCGAAAACGGCCCTCGAAAGCAGGTTGGCCATGCAGGTAACTTGCTTCTTTTACCTCTTTCGTCACTTGGCAAATCAGCGTGCTTGGAGTCGCACTGCTGTTATGTAGGTGTACGGCGGATGTACAGACACTTCGGGGCACCGCAGTGAAAATATCTATACAAAGGACTCGCCCTGCCGCGGCATCAAGTGAAGCTAGGCAACAATGACAATGGATATCGTGTGTCGTGAGTGTTTGTGCCAAAGTTCGCCGTTCTCGTCACCCAACGAACACTTTATGCAACTGCTCTCTATTGAAGGAACATACTGCTGTAGCAAGGAACTCAAGGCAAACAACGCGGTTTTCAATCGAACTTTATTAAGAAAAGGCATTGAGATGGTGCTGGGAAGACGAGTGCGTAGCCCGCCGTAGATACAGAACAACTCCCCTCTCTTTTTCCATCTTAAAGTTTTCTCTCTTTTTTTCTTCTGTTGTTCCACTTGTATGTAATGCCTGCCACTCTAATCACCAGGAAATGGTCGACGAACTCCGCTCTGCTCTCGCGACAGTAGAGGCGGGCGGAGGCGACCTCGCGAGAAAGAGGCATTCTGCAAAAGGAAAGCTTCTTGCCAGGTGAACCTAGAGCCATGCTACCATGGATGGAGCACGACGACTAAAAGTAGTCGACCAAGCGGCCTATAATTGCACAGATCTCATCCACTACAACACCGAGTCAACACTGGTCTCAGTCGGGAGGCGGTATGGCGTTGTGAACGAAAGACAGGTCCTACATTTTCATGTCCCGAAGATACTCGACAGAGCAGCTGAAGTGAGGTCCCCTCCCTTCCGTAGCACGGTTCCCTACCCTCAAAAACTACACATTATAGCTTCTTCAGGATTCTCGTTCATATTCCCCCGCCATATTTACACTCTGTCGCCGTCGGGTCCCCGTCGCCCCCTGCGCCTCTTCCCAGGGAGAGGATTGAGGCGATTGTTGATCCTGGCTCACCATTTCTGGAGCTGGCACCTCTGGCCGGGTACGAGGCACTTGTTGATGAACACGTGGACCTTTCGAGATTTGTATCTACATGTAGTCTACCTGTGGCGATGTGTGTAATTTTAGCTTGCGGCGTGTCCGGCGTTTTTGTACACCTGACCGCACGAGATACGGGACAAGATATGGATTTTCGTGGTCGTAATACTTCTGCGCACGCACACAAGCGAACCGCTACTGTCAAGCATGCTTATGGAAAACGTTCAACTAAGTGGCAGGGCAACCTCACCCGGTAACAATACGCTCCGATAACACTGCTGAGAGACGGTGGTGTTTACCGCAGAATCGCGACAGACGCGCGTCGCTTCCCATCGGGAAGACAAGTCGTCTTGCCTGGATTGATATAGGACTACTGTTTGTTGATTCCCTCCACCCCACCTGTTTGCGCGTGACTGACGACTTCCCTCTCCCCCCTCGTGCTCGGCGGCGAAAAGATACGATGAGGGGATCATCAGCGGGGGAGCTGTTGCCGGCATCGGTAGGGTTGAAGGCGTCGAGTGCATGATCCTGGCCAACGACGCAACCATCAAGGGGGGAACGTACTATCCCATCACCGTGAAGAAACACCTGCGTGCTCAGGTAGGTGACCGGAGAAACAAGCGCGAAGTGCTGTGCACCCCCTGGACTCGGATCTGCCCGCCTTCTCTCCCGCACACACCTGGCTATAGCCGTTATTACTGTTGTTGTTGTTGTTGTTGTTGTTGTTGACGTTATTGTCACTTTGATAGAATTCTTCCAAGTGTTGGGCAATTTTTTCTCGTTTTTTGTCCTGCCATAAGGCTGACGAAACTCTTTCCTAGCTAGCCGGTCAGCGCGGTCTTGTGAGTGCAGAACGGAAGAGTGCCGAGGTGAACATACCACTTGAACGACTATTGTGCTTGTATCTGAATAGGGTACGTTACATCGCTCTACTGGAAGCAACACAAAAGAGAGATTTCGAACTAGACACACCTATTCACCACCAGTGGAGCCGGTGCCGTGCACCCACCCCCCTGTTCTTCTCCACCTTTGGTACCACAACGCGTGTCTCTTCCGGCATGCAGGAAGTCGCCCAGGAGAACCGTCTGCCTTGTATCTACTTGGTTGACTCGGGAGGGGCGTTCCTACCGAAGCAGGCCGAAGTATTTCCTGACAAGGAGCATTTCGGAAGAATTTTCTTCAACCAAGCCAACATGTCCGCGGCAGGTAAAATGCCGATACAGGCAGTACTGGTACAGAATTGCCGTCTACCCCTGGAACTCTCCTTTGTTTTGCGGGTAGTTGTTGTGGGTCTGCTCTTCTTTGGGACCGGTAGTATTGTTGCAGCAGTTCTTCTGCCGGTGTGCACCGTCGCTGGACTTGGTTATCGATCCCCGTTGGTCGCACTCTCTTTCCCATCGCCATTTTCCTCTTGCACCCAACCCCCGGCCCTGTTGGCCGCCGGAAAAAGGACTCGGCTGCAACGAATTGAAACGTCTTAACAGGAGGGTAGCTAAGACCAGCGAGAGGGAGGACCGATCCCAAAAACTGAAGTACTACTGCTGTACACCGCCGAATTCCGACGCGAACGGCTGTGGCAGGGATACCCCAGGTGGCCGTCGTGATGGGCATCTGCACCGCCGGGGGGGCGTACGTGCCCGCCATGTCCGACGAGACTGTCATCGTCAACGGGACCGGGACCGTGTTCTTGGCCGGCCCCCCCACTCGTCAAGGCAGCGACCGGCGAAGTCATTTCGGCCGAAGAGCTGGGAGGGGCGGATGCGCACACCAGGCGAGTGCCAGGATTAGCGATAGCCGATTGGCTGCCGAGTGGGAGGCCCGCGGGGGGGGGGGGGGGTGGGACGTACTGCAGTTGGGGTTCGGAGAAAGAGCGCTAGGGGGTGTTACGGTGAGGCTTGATGGTGGCCATGGATGCCGACGCGCCGGCTGTGCAGTGTCTGGCGAATATCTGGTTGGCCGGTCGACAGGCGGAAAATATTGTCTATTTTGGAAAGGTGCTTCGCTTTCGCGTACGGTACTGAGCTACAACATGTATCGATGACGCGCGAGCCGCGATAACATTGTTCTCGGTGGAGCTCGTCACGGCACTATTGCTTCTTCGTGTGCCCGCAGGACATGTATCCGCTGTGCTCTGAGAACCGAACTGCATCCAAACGGGGTATACATCAGATGCAATCCTGTAAACGATCGTTGCTATTCGCGCGGCCTGCTGACTGGAGTGCCTCCCATTTCAGTACACACACCGTCGATTTTCCTCACCCTCGCAGCGGTCTTTCATCCCACCAATCAACGCACAACCCCATTCAACACTTTGATCATTTCCGCTGCCGGCCTTCCGCCCCCCTCCACACTCGAATCAAATCCACCAATTGACTTCGATCGGCTTGGTTTCTTTTGGGGCAGATTGTCGGGCGTGGCCGACCACTTTGCCGAGGACGACGAGGACGCGATCTCCATCGCTCGCAGCATCGTCGCAAACTTTAACCTCCCATCTGCCACGAACCCCTCGCAACGCGTAGCTGCTATGAACGCCGCCGCTGCCGCCGCTAGCGGCGGCGGTGGCGAACGCGAGCGCAGCAAGAGTCAGGAAGGAGCCACCACGGCGGCGGAACAGCAATGGGACGAACCGCTGTTCGACCCCCGGGAGATGGGAAGCATCATCCCGACGGATAGCAAGAAGCCCTTCGACGTGCGAAAGGTGAATGAAGAAGAGGGACACAAGTGTAGGTCACGTTACTTGAGCCGGGCTCAAGAACAATCGGAGATGCCCCCGCGTACGCCTGAGGAGAGTGAAGGCGGTGACCCACCTTCTTCTTAGCCTTGCTACCGGAACATGCACAGTGTCGCAGAAAGACACTACCGTAAACGTCGGAGTTTTCCCCCCCTAGTAGAGCTTCCCCCCCCCCACATTACCTTTTGGGCCTGGAAGCATGGTTTCTTTGATTTAGCCCCGGGGTAGATCGTTGTCCCGACCAAAAAAGACAAGATCCCCCCGGGTATTTCAATTTCCCCCTGGGTACCCAGTTTTCTCACGAGTTCCCCCGGGGGGGGATGTATTTCCCAGTTTTTCTGAGTCAATTTTGTTACATCGCGGAGCACAAAAGCATGATATGGGACGGAAAATTCATTTGCAGATCTGCGATTCGAGCGAGATTCAGGTGTACCAGTTTGTCACTGGAAGGCGGGCCCTTTCTCTTGTTGGAATCACTCGCGGGACGAGACAAACTCCCCCAGCTGCTGTCCTCCTTGCTGTCTTTTTTCTCTTCGGCTTCGTTTCTCTTGCGTTCCTCCTCCCTCTGCTTGTTGAACGCTTGCTCGTAAACCTTATCCATCTCAGTTTCGCCACTCTCTGTGTGTGTAGTGTGTGGACCATCATTATTTCGCACAACCCCCCGGGGGGGGGCTTTCCCCCGGGATAGTGTTGGAAACAAAAAACTACCCCCCCCCGGTATGTCAATTTCCCTCCGGGGGATTTGGTTTCAGAAGAAAAAACGATCCCCTCCCCGGGGGGGAAACTCCGACGTTTACGGTAATACACGTTCGAGATCATTCCCAGACGGGGGGATGTGTTGCAAGTCCTTTCGACTAGGGTGTGACTGACAACTGGTGGATGTCATGTCTTCTTCCGTTTGTCTTTGCTGCCTGCTGACCGTTGGTCCGACATGAGGTACGCTATGACCCCCTTTTTCAAGTACCCTACAACTCGCCCACTCTCTTTTACTATTTTTTCCGGACATAATACCCAAGCCAAAGGAGAAGGAAGGGTATCTCCCGTTCTGCGACGGGATCCCGTGGCAATCGCCTTCAAGTCGTGTGTTAACAGACGATGGCCCGATGTCGCCTCCCCCAAGGCTAGAAACTTGATGCATCTCCCGTCTCGCGAATGTCAATGTTAAAGGTTATTGCTCGCCTGGTCGATGGGAGCCGTTTCCACGAGTTCAAGGAGCGTTACGGCACCACGATGGTGACCGGATTCGGGCACCTGTACGGACAGAGCGTGGGGATCGTCGCCAACAACGGTGTGCTTTTCTCGGAGTCGGCTCTGAAGGCGGCTCATTTCGTTGAGCTGTGCTGCCAGAGGGGCATCCCGATCATCTTCCTGCAGAACATCACGGGGTTCATGGTGAGAGTAGGTTTTTGTTGTCAGAGGCGTATGAAACACGACATGTGGGTGGGGATCGTGGTGTGGTTTTTGCTCGTGGGTCCCCAATACGCCAAGGAAAGTGGTGCCATGTCTTCGTGGCACCCATCATGTAGTCTAGGACAACGGCAACGGTCTTCCAGGGCCATCGCATGCCCCCTTCCCTTCATTTTTCGGAGAATAAACCCCGGCGTACTCTTGTCCATTCTTTGGAAGGACTCCGAAAGAGTGTGCTGCGACGAGGCACCACCGTCGTTCCTGAAGCGATAACTCTTGCGCCCACGCCACGACCAACCAACAGGTCGGCAAGCGATACGAGCACCAAGGCATCGCGAAGGACGGGGCCAAGCTCGTGGCAGCCGTTTCCTGCGCCAAGGTCCCGAAGATAACCTGCGTCATCGGCGGGAGTTACGGGGCGGGGAACTACGGCATGTGCGGAAGGGCCTACTCGCCGCGCTTCCTCTTCATGTGGCCTAACGCACGCATCTCCGTGATGGGGGGAGAGCAGGCGGCGAATGTGTTAGCCCAGGTGTGATTGAATGAAGCCGTCAGTGACCCTTTGCTCGTGACTAACGTTACATTGCGACCGCGCGTGGCTCGAAGTTCGCAACGGATGTCGCACAATTTGCTACGGTTTTATCCCTCTTGGCTGCATTCAATACGAGTACCGTAGGCTTTCCGCAAGAAGGGGACGGGGGCCGCGTGAACTCGTTTACACTCTTCGTTTCCAGATTTCTCTTTCGCTTGCTCCAGTGTTTCTCAGTCATACCCACTGGAAACTGAGCTCTCTTGTCGTGTATTGCGGTGCTCTCACGTTCGACCATGAGTCCAGTTTGTCTAGAATGTGTCAGCCACATCCGAAGGATGGCTGAATATTTGATGGACGCAACGCTATCTCTTTCGCTTTCTCGGCCTGGCAACCCTTCGTTTAGGTTCTCAGATTGTTCAAACGAAACATCGTCCACCACAGCAGTCCTTTATTTTCCTTTCGTGTTGCAAGAAACGCGTGTTGACTAGAAGAACAGAAAATTCCGTTCGATGAATGAACCACGAAAGTGATTATCTCCCCCTCCCCCTGCAGGTAGGTACGTAGGTCGGGTGACTAAGAAAACACCGTTCGACGAACATACGGAAACAAAATTACTTGTAGGTGGAAAAAGACAAGCGCGAGAGGAGCGGAGAGACCCTCGGAGAGGAGGAAGAGGCGAAGATCAAGGACCCGATACTCAACAAGTTCGAGCGGGAGAGCTCCCCGTACTACTCGAGCTCGCGCCTTTGGGACGATGGCGTGATAGACCCGGCCGACACTCGGAAGGTGCTCGGGCTCACCCTGCACGTGGCGACTAAAGACGCGGCTCCACCCACGTCGTTCGGGGTGTTCCGGATGTAGTTTTTTATTAGTCGTGACTCCGTCCGATCGAAGGCGAGAAGCGATTGATGTATGCGGGGTGGGATTCAATGGCGCAGGTTCGACGTCCTTCCCCGTGAGAAGTTGTTCTGGGTTGTGAGGAGCAGCGCGCCATTCGGGTGTATGTATGTTATGACGACGGCGGTTTGTTAATAGTGTGAGTTGAGGGTTTCGCTAAAAGGATGTAGCCTTACTTTTTTTTGTCTTTTGTGTTATGATCTCCGGGTTAACAGCCGCTCAATACCTTGTGCGGCCAAACAATAATCCGGGTTTGTTCCGTTAGAGTATGGTCGTTCCCGTTTTTTGCGGGGTCAAGGAGTTGATAGTCCGTTTCCGAGTTCACCATTGAAAAGGCTTCGGGTGTGACGGTCTTCAGGGTGTCCTCATGGACGTTGTTGATGGAAGTTGGCATCATCTGCGTTGGGAACCTCGAAGCGAACGCTCTCTTGCTGAGACATGCTCCCATGGTGAGGATGGTTTGGTAGGTCGCTACAGTAGTCGTAGTTTTTTTTCCTCTACTCGATGGAAGTGTCAATATTCGTCGCTCGCTACAGCACAGCTCAATGTGCCTGGCACTTTCTCAAGAGTTTCAGCCACTATTTTCTCGCATACATACATTGTACATGCCCTGAAAGGTACTGCTACCTGCCTTGCTTCTTAAGCTTCTCTGTCTACGGGGAACGCTGCTCGGAAATGCGTTAGGTCTGGCTTGGTGGTAAGTCTGTAAGTGGATCGAGGTTGGTTGTGGATTTTGCCTCTATTTAGATGGAACGACACCGACATGACATTCAAGGTCCTACATAAGGAAGGCAGCCTTAAGGCCTAGTCGTAGAGGAGAAGTCTCTACTGCTGTAGCCTATTTTTCACCGGACAACTGTGTCGGAGCGTTAGTTTTAGTGTTCTGCACCGCTCTTGAGGTCTACGCAGATTCTGTTGAAGACCTCTCCGGCGGCAGGGGGTCAAGGGGAAGCGGGCTCCAAACGCCGTCGGGAGCCAACCTCGGGCTATTGTACCACAAAATGCAAACTGTACAGGCAAGCAGGGCGCGACGTCTTCTCAAACTGTTCCCTGGCTATTAAAATTTACTTCAACATCTCAAAGTTATGAAACCGTTCTGGACTCTAGCCTAAAACAACCCGTATCTACTGCTGTACCTCCTTGTTGGGAATCTTCAAGTCGAGCAACGATTTAATTTTCGCGGTCGCAAGCGTGGGGCTGCAGATATGTCCCCTGTCTGTTTACTAACCACAACGACAAGCAATAGGCACGACTCTGAGGTTCTTCGGGAACGAACGGGTACTGTTGTACATCAGATCCTTCCTTTATGTACGTGTGTCGGTGCTTCCTGAATCTCCATATATATCCTGACCTCCACACAATAATATGAACTATGTAGTCTAGTTCTAGATGTGTGCAGATGTAGCACAGCAGTAAAAACCCACGAAATAAAACATTTACATCCGCCTTGCAGATGAAGTCCAGGGCACGTCGTGATGCGTTGGCAGGATATTTCTTCCGATGTTCCTCGAAGAAAAGTGCCAAATGAACGAGGGGGGGATGCGCTCACGCGTTCTTTCCAATGTTATTTCTGGCCTCTGCTCATCAGCGTAGTATCAGAGTGCCTCCGTCAAGTGCGACTATCAACCACGCGTGTCATCATTCACTACTTTACGGCAGGAACATCAAGTAGACACTTCTCAAAGCACACTCGGCGGTTATTTGCACGGGGCTCGCAGATACAGAGAGGGGGAGACAGAGAGAAGAAAGAGAAGGATATGCAGCGAGAGACTACGAAGAGGAACATGAAACCGTCGGCAGGGCATTTTCTTCGGTTTCTTCGTCGGGAACACGTGGTTATCCCGGTTTATTTATGCAATACTGCTGTAACACATCCGCACACATGATTTTTTCTCGCAAGTACCACAACGCGAGAACTGTACCCTGCCTCCCCAGTTCGCAATCTCTGTCCCGCTAGAGATTCACGTCTCTTTGGTCAGCCGGTCGGCGCGGTCGATGCAAATTGAAGAAATGCAAATATACTATAATACGCGGACTTGCGTACGATGTCGTGCGTCGCGTGACTAACTAAGCATTCAATAGGCCAACGAGCAACCAATGGCTCTCGTCAGGCGACTATCCACGCGCCGAACCGTTAATTGCACCGACCAGTGCTGTTGGCGCGAGGTCACACACACGACACCCCATCAGACTACATTGACAGCCATCAGTCAAAGACGGCACCGACCTAATCCAGCAGCAGCAGCGGCTACTTCACCACAAAACGAACCCCGAAGAAGGTGATTCAGTTGAATTGACACAAAAGTCGGCCCGAAAGATCTACACAAACTGCGATCGAGCAGGAGAGTGTCCCAAGGGGGGCGCGTTCCGAAAACACGGCTTTTCATCCGCGAATTCTGCACCTGTGTCGAAAACGTTCTGTTGTATACATGGTAGTGTACAACGCGTTCATGAACCCGCTGTCTGCGTAGCGTAGAAGGTGCAGCATCGAATTGGGTCCGCTGACGTTCAAAGCTATAAAGCGGGGAGCATTGTGCTTCCAGTCCGTTCGGCAGTAATTGTGTTGGTAAAGCAGGCAGCACTCACCTCCGTCGGTTCAATTATAGACTATAATTGTGAAGCGCGAGGGCACAAATGATTTTTGGCGCAAATTCTGCGGTCGTCGGTATTTGCTGAGCTCCTTCGACGTCCGCCGTGACGCCAGCTTGGTGTGCTCTGGCCCGGCTTTTACGCGCTTTCTATCTATCGATTTAGACTTTGCGATAGAAACTGTTGCCGTTGGCAATGTTTGGTAAACAGTTGTTTCTTGTGTGGACGTCAGCAGCAATCATCTCAAATTGATCGAGTGTTTTTTGCTTCTTCGCGTTTGGGTGTGAAGTGAGCTCCACCTATCGTGAGAGGCTGTAAATATTTCCATGTAAATGTAGCATCGACGGCAGCTTAAACTTCTTGTCTACAAACGAACGGGGCATGAAACAACCCCATGTACTTGTCTTCTTGTTCACGGCTTGTTAAAGTAGAATTTTTCCTTGATGTGCCGATTGGTTGTCCATCGCTTGTGTGTTGGTTTTTCCCTCCGAGGAGCCGCATGTCTGAGGGCAGTTCAGCTGTAGTATACATTTGGCGCGAGGGGGGGTGAGTCAAGCAACAATCGATGGGCCCCATCACATTGTCCCCGCCCTCCCCCATAGGCAAAGCGCACGCCGGTGTGTGCCTAACGGCCTGTAATACCCTCTGAAACAAGTATCGTAAACAAGTGTAACCATTTACAAGTGCCATAGAAGAAGAAGCTGTCCGAGCCCGCCCTTCTGCACGTTTGAAGAAACAGCCGATGAAAATGTGTGTGTGTACGGTTGGCTCATGTGTCCAAGGGCTCGCCGTTTCCAACCATCCCGCCCACCCACCTCATTCCGTCAACACGGAAAACGTCAGGAATAGGCTACAAAAATGTGCGAAGAAACCACCCAGATAACGGAGGCGGTGTCCGTAGAGCAGCGGGGACCCACCAAGAAGAAAGAGTCCAACCGGCGCCGCTCTCTGTCTCCTCCCCCTCACCCCGGCGCCACGCCCATCAAGACGGGTCTTTACCTCGAGCCTCACCACCTCTACGGCAAGCTTTACAGAGCTCACCACACCATTCAGATCCCAATGTGAGGGAGAGCAACTTCATCGTGTCGTGTTCGGTGTGTCGTTCGTACTTCTTGTCTGCCATGGTTGAATCGAATTACTACAAGGTGGCAGGCAAGTTCTGCATCACGCCAGGAGTCATTTCAGTTGTTCCTGGGAACACTGCTGGATGGAGATTCTAGAGAGGTTCTACTGTAGTGATACGTCAGACTGTTTTGTCACGCCAACACCCCCACTATGTATATTATCGGCAACAACGAAACATGACATTCGCCTCCGTCGCGGCGCTGACAACGAGATTTTCAGCCTTCTCCCGTTTTTTGTTCTCGGAGCAGATACTTCTTCAAGTTTATCATCAGTCAAGTGCTTTGCTTCATCTCCGTCCTCTTCTGGCGCGTCCCCAATACCGACAACGACGTCGTCGAGTGCATGGAGGGATGCACTCTGTGCCTCGTCCTCCGCCGTGACCACGAAGCCGAGGCCGCCGAAAAGGCAAGAGCAAACACAGTACATCGTGGAATAAGTGTTAATTATTATCGTCGTACAGGAAACAACCTGGTTTTCATTCTAATACAAGAGGGGGGGGACGCGCGATGTGGACTACACAAGGAGTAGAATTACGAAATTGATACTCAACAGATGTTTCGTAGCCTCCTACCACCTCCATCCCTTCACAAAAACGCCCTCTACTCGGGACATGACCATAAATCCCTCCTAACTGCCCCCACCCGCGACGAACCCACGATTCGCCAGGCTGCGTTCAAGTCTCTCCCCGGTTGCACCACGAACGACGGTTTACCGCTGTACGAGACCCGGCACTACTACGTGAACGTCGAGAAGTGCCTCCTGGACCTCATGATCCGCCCAGTCGGCGTAACCTACCAGTCCGGTATCGGCAAGAGCACCCTCATCAAGAGCTGGAGCATGCGCTACACCAAGACTCGCAGGCGCCCCCAGGTAGGCTTGACTACCTACAGCAGGCCCGTACCTTCGCGCCGTGTTTGAGTGTTTCCTCCTGCTTGAATATTTGGTCGTCGTTGACGTCGTATCTCCCTGCATCCCAAAACCAGCAACTGCTTTCAATGAAGGAGAGTGGGGGTAGGGAGGGGGGGGATTCATCTGTTTAGCTGTCGGGAACGATATCGACGGAATGCTGCGCGCCTTGCAGAAAACATCGAACTCGGATGTTTTTGTCCTCGATGCGTTGTGGGTATCGATATATCGATATAGTTGACTGTGACGCCGACACCTGCTTCAAAGAGAATAACGCCAACTCTCGGTTTCCGTGCGTGCGTACACGTTCACAGTCGTTTGCAGTCACAACCCTGCTGGTGTATTCTCCCATGCTTTTGGAATTGGCGACAACACTTGTTATATCGGGCTGAACAACTTGTTTAGCGGGCGGCCTGGGCTCCCTCTCCCCCAAACACACGCGCTTCCTCTTCACCACCACGAATGTATCCGCACATAGCAAATGACCCGCTCACGACGTTGTCTGTCTCCCCTCGCCCGCTCGTGCGCCCAATCTCATCGTTTCATCAACAACTGCCACACCGTCGATCGATCAAAGCCCAAGCAGCCCCTCCCCGGCGCCAAGGAGCTCACCCCCACCGAGAAGCAGGCTGCCGTTGCCGCTGCCAAGAAGCAGGCCGACTACAACCCCGAGCCCTGGAAGAACAACGGCGTGTGGGAGAACAAGATCGTCTCGTTCGTCGTGAACGGGGAGGCCTGGCACTCCCGGGAGCGCATGTACGGATTGCTGCACCACTACCACAGCGGGAGCGCGCACACCAAGTGCCACATGATGGGCAACTCTCTCGCCGACCGCATCCTCGTGGACGATCGCGTCACGGAGAAGCTGTCGGAGAGCACGTGGACCACCACCGCCTTGCACCACGGCCTCCAGTACGGCACCCAAGGGCCCCTGACCCACCCCAGGCATGTTGTCACCCACGTCTGACGATGCAAGCGTACCTCCACTGGATCGCTTGGTGTCACTTGTGAATAAAGAATAGAGTCATTTTTTCATTTTTTCGTGTGTGTGCTGGTTATTGTGATATTGTGAAGTATCACGATGTCTTTTGCTCCACCGGAATCGCAGCTCAGACAAAAAGTTTATGTTGTCGCCCTCACCCCCACCTCTTTTATTTTGAACAGGAACGAACGCAACAAGTGGACTGGACTTGGCGCCGTCGCCACCCGCGACTCCGTGGTGGCGGAGGGCGACAACATGAGCAGCCTCGGAGCCGATCACGCGGACAAGAAACGCTGGGCTGACCTAGAGCTTCCCTTCGCGGACTTCCTGCTCAACGCTCGCCTGGTGCTGACCCGGTGAGGAAGGGGGCTGGAGAGAGGGGAAGAAAGGGGTGCTTGGTGTCGTGGTTTTTAGATGACAAGATAGCAGCAGCAACAGCAGCACCAAGATGGAGGCAGAGAGAAACGTGCAGGGAAATATGCAGCAGGCAGGATTGAGAGGGAAAGATAGAGGACGGGAAGGGGGGGGGAGATACAGATCAAGATAAAAACGTTGACAGATAGACAAACAGACAATCTCATTCTGTATTGCTCGGTCTCCCTCCTCCCGCCCCACTACTGAATACCTGTTTATGTCGTCTTTGTTGCGTGTTTCGCTTTCGATGCTTGGTTCGCCGGGTAGACATTCTCTGTCAAAGGCCAATGAATTGATGGGTATTCGGACGCTTCTTTAGCTCGTGTTGATACAGCCCGTTTGGAGTGGTCGGTGCAATACGATACTTATACTGAACGCCATTTCGGCGTCTCTCTTTCTGTGTGCCCCAAACCCCTCTCTGGTCCCAGCTGTGTTTTGCAGAAGATCGGCCTTTGCCCGCACGAACCACGAAGATAGTTTTGGCAATACGAAACTACCTTATTCTTCAACGACGGGATCTTGACATGGACTGCCTCTGAACATCGCATCCATCGACATCACCATTCCCCTCGTGCTTACTACTCGCCCCTTCTCCCCACGCTCACGAAAAACAGGGTGATGAAGAAAAACGACATCCCTCCCGACCTCCACGAGGCACTGTTCCTGTCCTGCATTGTCCACGCCTCCGACCACACCCTCATACACAGAATCCAGTGGGGCAAGGTGTTCAACCTCGACACGACCAACACTTTCAAGCCTGGCACCTGGTGAGCGCCGCTATCTGTACTTAAGAGGGACAGAGAGACAGAGAGACAGCAGGAGAGGGGGGTAGACAGATAGACAAAAATACGAACGGGGGGGGGGGGGGGCGTACTCTTATGTTTTGCATGCCTTAGCAGTTAAACCATTGACCACGCGTCTTCGAGAGGACGGAGCATTGTTCCCACAGGACCGATCACCGATGGCCAATCGTTCCTTCCTACTTTGCCAAAGGTGGTCGTCCCTCGTCTATCTATCCTAACGATATCCCTTCCCGCCTTTTCAAACCACTTCCTACTCCCCAGTACAGCTACCGTCTTCTCCTCTCTATTCCATGCCTCAAACATCTCCCTGTACCTCCCTTGTACTTTTCCCAGCTCAGTCATGTACACTTCCCTCTCCTTTTCGTACAACTGACATTCCGCGACTACATGAACACGGTCTTCGCACTCGAAGCCGCAATCACATTTGAACTTGTCGTCTTCGTCGTCTACCGTCCTATGTCTTCGTCGACGTTGACGAAGGCCTATGTCCCCGGTCCTGAATTTGACCTTAAGCTTTGTCCCTGCATCCATTGGTCCATGTAGGTAATCCTTGAACCCTATTTCTTCTTTCAACATTCCGTATATTTCTAGACCCTCCTTATCCTTGGTTTCTTTCCCTAGATTCTGTTCTTCTCTCTCGGCACAAGCAACATATATATATCTTCTCCTTGAACCCCTGTAGACCCTCCGTTTCCAGCGTTTCATCTTCGTCGATGTCTAACCCCTTCCATACGTCCTCTACGACCTTGACCCATTCCGTGGGTTGTCTACCCCTCTTTTTGTTTGCCCACTTCACCTTCCATACTATTCTCGGCAACCTCTCCTCTCCCATCCCGCACATGCGATACTGCCATGTCAGCTTCCTTGCGTCTCTTCCCGACCGTAGGATTTGATCCCCAATTCTGCCCTGACGGCTGCATTACTTGTGCGCTTTGAGCATCCTAGGATGATTTTCGCTGCTTTCATCTGCGCCGCCTCGAGTTCTTTCACTACCTTCTTATTTCCTTCACATACTTCTCCGGCGTACTCTAGCGGCGGTACGATTACGCTCTTCAAAACCGTCAATTTGATGCGTGTATCGAGGTGCCGGTTTGCGAGTATTGGGTGCAGCTTCCTTGCTCGTGCTTTGCCCTTTTCCGCTACCTTGGACACGTGTGCATTCCACGAGCAGTCTTTTGCGATCTCGAGGTATGTGTACTGGCACTGCAATCTCCTCGATCCCCCACTTCCATCTATATTCTACTGGTTCCTCCCTGTCCTCCTTGCATACCATGACGGCACTCTTCTTAACGTTGGCAGACAATCTCCACTTATCAGTAAACTTCTTCGCCGCGTCAATTTGCAGTTGCAGTCCCTCAAGGGTGTCCGACATACCAACAAAATCATCCGCAAACAGCATTCCCGACACCGAAGTTTCCGTGTCCCCCGAACGGGGGGGGGGAGGTCGGAAATACTCCTCGGTATCATGTTGCCACTGCTTGGTGGGACCACTCTTTGTTATTGTTGCTTGACGAACGTGGTTCGATTCTACAAGATGCTCTCGTTTGCTGCGTGTGCCAAGAGACATGCTGTAGATCTCTCGCGATCATCTCTTTGAAGGTACTTCTACATCTATCCGTACGAAGAGAGAGATGCCCACAGGAAATAGTCCACAGGCGCGTGTTGTGTTCAAGCTTCTGTATTGGTTGAGCGACACCTGTTAGACGGTCTACGTTCTATTGGAATTTCTTATTCTTTGCGATCCGTTCACGCCTCGATTTGTTCCGGTTCGTGATCAGGTATGACCACTGGGAGAGCACTGCCTGGCGCTACATGTGGTCTGAGCCCACTCTCAATCCTTTCTGGAACAACAAGATCTGGTGAGTTCTCGATGGCTTGCCTCTACATGAGCCTGAAACCCCCTCTCCGTTCGCAAACGACAACCCATGGTCCCTTTTTGTGTACCCCAGTTCTGTTATGAGAATTTTTTGTTTCTCTCTCTCTCTTGTTCCGCACCCGACACCAACCCAACTTAAAGAATGGGCAAAACTTATGCTTGCAAGTATCACGTTTTGACCCCTCTTTGTTTTTCATGGTGATGTTGCAGTCGCAGCAGGAATCCGTTCTATAGGCAGCTGTACAAGGGCCTGCAGGAGATCGACACCTTCAAGGTCTCCAAGAACATCACGGCAAGCATCATGTACTAAGGTCCATGACAACACCAGCTCGTCTATCGAGCATCATGTACCAAGCGAGCTCTCCATGGCGAGAGTCTAAGCGAAAGATGGGAGCCAAAGGCAGGCAATCAATCATCGACTCGGCGCTTCGACAAGCCCCGTTTCCGTCGGGTTTCCAGGTCCTCCACCATAACCGGAATGTTTTTCTTAACCGCAAGGTTCGTAAGTTCTCCCAAATACAGTGAAGTTCGATGTTTTATCTCTGAATTGTTGTGTCCGACGATGTGCCGTCAGTACCAGAGACTTTTCAAGGGGCCGGTTATACAGAAGGAAGTCCTAGGCGTCGAAAATGAGAGACCAAGATACATGCGGCAACCCTAGAATTGATTCCTTTCTGCACGGAAATGAGAGTTGGACCAACATCTGTGACTTCAAGTTCCATGTAGCCGCCGCAACAACTGCCTCGACGCCAAGGTATCGGAAGACGGAAGGGGAAAATGGCGAAGTGCTAGTGAGTAAATCTAACGTGCAGATGTTTGTTGGTTGTGTACGGGGAGGGGTGGGCGGGGTAGGGTGGGGTGGGGGGTGGGGGTATCGAAAAAAATATCTTGCATGATGTTTCGGAGCTTTTTGAGGGAGTAGAAGGTTGTAATTTCCTGAGATACTGAAGAATAACATTGAGAAGGTAGACGTTTTGCAGTTTACAATAAGTCGGCACGCCACACTGAGGCCACAAGCCACCGGTTCACCATTATTCCGGCACTCTTCAAGTGTTGCGTCCACATGATGTACGACCTAGCAACAAGGCGAACTGCCAGCGTAAATTTTGTTGAACATCCACTCAAGTTTGAACTAGTGTCGAACGAGCCCCCGTCTGGAGTGATATGCTGAAAAGTAAATGATTGAGAGTGGGTTACCAGAGAAGCAGGGCGAGAAGGTCGGGGCCGTGCTCCGTATAGTCCGGCAAGGAAGGGTGGAAGGCAAACCGTCAAGTAGGACAGATAATGCCTAAGCTACACGTAGACTGAGGATAGGAACATACCAGAAGAATCGGTAGGAACCTACAAGTGATATATCGAGTGTCTTGACCTACCAAGGGGGTAGCCCCCGCGGGGGAAGGGAGTTATAGTTGTTCGGAAAAAGTTTTGAGATGAAAGTGAGTACACGGCGAGACTATTCGTGTGACTATATACTGATAGCAGCAAGGAAGGGAAGACGCAACGAGTATATTATTTCAACATTGTTGTGGAGAGTAAAGCAGGAGTATTGTATACGGGCTAGGGAGGGAGGCGGGGGGGCGGGTGGGAAGGAAGGCCAATACCACCATCGCTTGGTGACAACCCGGGGGGAAGGTTTTATATGAAGGGCGAGGAGAGGCACCCCCTCCCCGTGAAGGCTCTCTTCAAAGGGAGACAACTTCATCTTTCTGTTTCTCTTTCTCTCTTTCCACAACGCAATGATCCGGCCCGGCGGACAGTTGTAAATTTTCAAGCAATGGTGTTTTGGGCGGGGGAGTCGGTGCGAGGTGTATGACTGCATGTTGCACCGTGAGTAACAAGGCACGGGGATAGTTATGTGAGAATGTCGTGTGAGTTGAGTTTCTCTACACCAAGAGATAGATGAGTTGGATCGCGCGGAAGAATCGACACCGCAGTCTTCACCAAACTCTTCTTCTCAAAAGTGCATGCCTGCAAGAACACCCGTTTGGAGATACCTTAAGGGAAATGACTGGGTATGACTCTGTGGTGTACGACAGATCCGTTGCTCCAATGTTGGATAAGGCCACTGCCGGGAAGTGGGGGGTGGGGACGGGGGGTAGCAATGTAAGGAGGTGGGGGGGATGACAGGTTCGTGCTGTAGCAGACAAGCAATCAATTGTATGCATGTTACATATTATGTAGCACAAGACGATTCAATAGGAAACGGCTGCCTTCCTGCTATTAAAGTTGGGCTGGCTGTGAAGGGCAGCAAATGGAACCATAAATGAATGGAAGTATTTTTGAACTTGCGGCTTTGACCAACCTTCTTCCGGTTGGTCTCTCTGGCGTTCGAGGTCAGCTGCAGACAAACATACCTCACCGCCGAATCACACCCAACTCCAAGAAAAAGCTCTACACGAACACGTTCCTTGTGTATGTAGAGTGCCACGGATGTATTAAATATGGTGGACGGAAAATAGGGAGTGGGGAGGGGGGCGAGACTACCCGTCTATGTTTACCCACCGTATTTCGTTGTCATTAGGAGTATGTAACTCATGGGAGCATCGATGCCTCGTTTATTTCAGTTTGGGCAGTAGTGTTTCACGACCGACCCTAATTTCTTTTGACGTTTTTCCCGAAAATCGTGAAAAGTAAATCCATCCGGAGAATACAGCAGTGTGATGTTGCCGTTACGTTTGTAATCTATCGTGGAGAGAAGAGGGAGACAAAGAGAGAGAGAGCGGCAAACATGGCAAGACAGGCAGACAGAAGCTAGGGAGAGAGGCACGATACACACAGAGAAGTACCGATGGGTACGGTACCACGCTACCCACTCTTCGGCCGGCTGAGTAATATTTGTCTGTTGACTACTGAAGGTTCATGGCTAAGGCCTAGCTTGAGGGCGACAGACCGACCCGGGCACAGGGCACAGGTACAGGGTCGATGTGGGTACGTACGTGGGACGTGGGACGTGAGAACTGATAACCGAGCGGCGGAATTTAAGTCGGTTCGGCAGACATTTTTATCCCGCCGCTTTCACCACGGCCCCCTTTCGCCTTTCGCCCTTTCCCCTTTTTCTCCTCTTCTCTCTCCACTCCACTATTGCCCGTGTCCCTCTTCCCGTCTCTTTGCTATACACAATCAGAAAGACGATATTATCTCGAACGAGAAGTATTCCAGGTTATGTATGTATGTTTTCTACAACGATACCAAGCGGCGTCAACGCTCAATCAAGCACCCACGAAACTTTTTCTGGATACTATAGGGTATCCACTATGGATTGACGCGGAATTTTGACCTTTGAGGATTGACGCCAACATAAAGTGACGGTTGAGGGTTTTGACGGGAAAAAATTCGCACCGCGTGTGCCCGTTGACACGTGAGAGGTGAAAAAAAAAAATGGTGGAGGTAGAGTTCAAGGTTGGTTCGGGCTGCCACCCAGGGTCGACATTCCGAAGCGAAGACTCACACCCCCAGGCTCCCAGGAGACTAGGTGTACCCCTTCGCCTCATCCCGCCGACCTTCCCTCCTTTGCCGCGGCGACTTTTCCCAGGCGTCAAACTGCGACTTCCCAGGCGTCAAACTGCCGTTCGTTGCTGATGAGTAAGGCAGCTGCTCGCTGCACTGCTGTGTATATACCGATGTCACTGCGGCAGCGAGCACCGAACCCCGTGAGGGGGCGGGCGAAATGCACCTACTGACTGGCAAAGTCCGTGTACCCTCCCTTACTCCTCTCCATGTGCTGCCTTCGAGGGCGAGACTCCCCCAATCACTCCCCTGCCTATGCCCCTTTTTGCTGCTGAAAGCCCGTGCGCAATCGCGACGGCGCATCTACCGAACGCGCGCGCCGAACACGCGCGTCTGGCCACTTGGCCGCCGTGAGAACTGCCGAGACGCGTGGGTGCAGGACCGCTAGGAGCAATCAGTATAGGCATGGCCAATGTGTTCGCTGCTGACCGCGCACAGCAGACCGCAGCAGAGCAAGCGTGTGTGAGCCACAGTCTGGCGATGTTTGAAGCGTCAATCTTTTCGCGTCGTTTTAAGTTTGGGTGAAATTTAATTTTGACGCTTCCTCACAAAAATTTCGCCGTCAGAGTTTGCCCCCAAAAAAGCGGCGCAACCTCTTCACGTCAAAACTTCCTGAAATGTCAATCTTTCACGTCATTTCAACAACACGTGGATTCCCTCTACTATCACACGTTTCGTTGAGTCGTGGTGCAAGCAACACAGCGCACCCCGGCACACTCCCGATACATCTGCACCATGCTAATATCCACTCTGCCTTACGGCAATTTCCTTCGAAAGGATCGGCGGTGCTGTCCACAACACCCACACCAAACAAGGCACAGCGAATGAAGCGACAATGGAGTGAAGAATCTACGGGAAGACACGACGAATCCGTTTCTATCCACTGACAAGACTGAAAAAAACTGGTATTTTATTTTGTTTTCTTTCGAATTTTGCTTCATTATTTCTTCGGTTTCTAGGCTACGTGTTGGGGAGAGAGACGCACGAAACGCTCATCGTCTCTCCGGCCGCGTTAGCTGCAAAGGCCGGCGTCAACTCTTACAAATCCATCTCTCTCCCCACAAATACTAGCCGGGGGACTACGACTGCAAACGCAGGAGTCCCAAAACTGACTACAAGTCCTCAAATGGTACACACCATTCTACAACACCTGAATAGATACCGAATATTCCGGAACTTATTATGCCCCCACCTTCGAAAGAAAAGGCATGGGAGGGCGGGATTTTCTAAACTGCCGCCGCTACTGCGTTAGGCGGCTGCTGCTGTCCTTCCGTTGCTTCACGCGCTCTGTAGCTGTCACACGTTACCCGACTTTGCTACAGCCCCTGCGTGGACTCGATCACGGAATGACACCCCCAACTATAGACTAATAATTCCAAACATCGTGACCCTGGGTTTCCGGTAGAAAATGAAGCCAAATTCTAGTTCGACTGTTACAAAATAAACACCAGTTTATTCTATCTGCTTCGACGAACAAACCTTCCTATGTGAGTGCGATGTAGCGCGAAGGGGAACAAAAAGGGCTGAAACCGTCGATCGTCGACGAAACTTCCACCTGGCTTTTCGTTCTGTGAGGATTGCCCATGCATCAATTCAGACCTGCCCTCTGCGCCCCCTTCCCACAACACGCGAACCTCCACCTCCCGTATCGCACAGAGCCCCAGCAGCGACTCGAAGATGACCATTCCGAGGTGAACCAAAGTTTGAATGATTGTTGTTCACCGGACTCCCTTGACTTCTGTATTGGTAGTCCCCGGCTCTGATTTAGGTGCAGACAGGGGTGCAGATCAAAGCAGGAGCCTTTTTTTGGGTAGAGTCAATGAAGGCTGACCGAAGCGTGAACTACTGTAGCTGATCTGATGTTATGTAGCCCTCCTAGTATTGGGACGAGCTCACTTCTTCTGTTGGTCAAATCCGTTGGTTGAATCTGTGTCTGCATTCATTGGTTCACTGTGGCCCGTCAAAAGCAACTGCTGCTCCGCGGTGCGTTTCGAATGGCCATGGCCGGGCTGCCAAAAACAAGCGGGAAACGATCTCCGCAAGAAAATTTTCGTACAGTTCGACGTACTCATTTATGATGTCATATTCTTACATATTTGTGTATGTGCTGGCACGGTCGAACTACTGTATCATTTCTGCGGACTGCTTCAGACGAATAATCATCTGGACTTCCTAACGCCAAGCAAGCCAGCACACAGTCCTGCAGTATTTGTGTTTTATTCTTAATAAACGCTGCGACACGCCAGAAGTCACCGTCAGTCTGTGTGAGCGGTTTGCAGTGAGTAGACAATTGCCGTCGCAAACCTCGAGCATGCACTGTGCATCTTTAGGCGAGAACGTTGGCGCGGCAACGACGATGTTCACAACCAACATTTCCATAGCAGAAAGAGCTCACAATAGGCGTGAAAGAAACCCCACTCGTAATCTTAGCCCCCCTTTTCTCCGCGAGCAGTCAGAGCAAGATGGTCAGACTCTTCTCGAGTGGTAGCCTTTATCTCCCTGTGTCGCGCCGGACGTTACTCGAACTGGACGAGAAGCACCACGCTGCAGAGCTAGTAGCGAACTACTACAAGATGCTGCTTTGGGGAGCTGCTGGGATTGTGGGCGCTGTTGTGGTGGTGGGGGTAGCAGTCTGGGTGAGAATAAGAACCAAGCACAAGAAAAGGCTGATCGCTCTCACGGAGGAGGTGATGCGGAAACAAGAGCAAATCGAGGCAAGAATCACAGCTTTTGTTGGAGCGGAACAGCAGTAATGGGCAACTTCATCACGACAAGTTGGTCACGACTACGTTTCTCTGTGTTTCTCGACTCACACGAAAACCCACCGTTTTTATACGCATATTTTGCTGTGGTTGCCCCTCTTTATCTGTTGGGCGGGCGTATCATCACATGAATTTCATTTTCGATATTCCGGTCCTCAATTTCATACGATGCACCCCGCTCTCACCCCCGTGTCTCGCGCACGCTTGATGCTTCGTCTTCAGACTGCTCGTTCCGCATGCCTCCGGTGGCAGATGACTTTAGTGAAGGAGCGGATTAAGACGGCAGACAAGAAGATGGAGAGGGAGAGGAAGGAGGTGAGCGCCAGTCCACCCCAACTCAACGCAAAGTCCAATCCACACGAATGCACTGCCTCCTGTAATCCCAACTTTGGGCGCCAGTTCAAGGAGCTCGGTCCATCGTTGTAGACACGAGTGGACCAGTGCCCTCTCCAATATACGACGCCTGACCCTAGATGTATCTCCCGTGTGTCGACAACTCACATCTTCTCGGATCAAATTTCCTGTCCAACGGTCCGGTTTATCACGCTGCATCTTGCATGGTGTCATTACACCCTTCCCCGTCTACATGTGCTCCGTTTCTCGCAGGTCAGTTCTACTTCATCTCTTCGCCTCCACTTGGCCCACGTCACGATAAGGGAACAGAAGGCCATCGAGGAAATTCGCACCTTAGGACAGCTGGTGAGTCAGTACTGAACGTTCACACACGCGAAGATCGATCAGTCAGGCGGAGCATATGCTGCGCGTCCGGATGCGAATGTTCCCATTCCCCGCGTGGTTGCCATAAAGAAGGCTATACCGACAACGTGACGCTCGGCTTTGCTTCGTCCACGTTTGTCTGAGACCAACCAAGCCAAGGAGCGGTCTCACCCCGATTCAAAACACCATTTTCTTGCATTAAGTGGCTGTGCCCACGGACCTTGTCTTTCACGGAGTGCTTACTCCCTTCTCTCCCGGCCGTCCCCGTCCCTCAATGAAGGAAGCATGCGCATGCAGTCTATAGCCGCTATGCATGCATGCCAACCACCCGATCTGGGAGAATCGTTTTGCCAAGCGTTTCAAATCGCTGATTATTAGCTGCAGCCTGAATATGTGTGTGTATTACAACCCGGCCGGGCGACGAAATCCTTGCACAAGTCCAATCCTCGCCGAAGAGGGTCCGCATTCATCATCTATTTACATCTCGACCGATATCCCACCCCAAAACCCAACTACCCTGCCCCTCGTTGCACACTCATCCTCTTTGTCTGAGTATAGCTCGACGACCACCAGCGGGCGAACGACAAGTTGCGGTGCCTGGCAAAAGCCCTCGAAGCGGACTTCGTAATTTCGAATCTAGGGCAGGGCAATGAACGGAGGCAATAACCCGGCCCGTCCGACCAGAATGGATGCCCACAGTCGATGATCACGTGAACACGGTGGAGCTCGAAAGTGGTGTGGTGCAAAATTGACAACGTCAGGGCGAGAGAAAGGTGCCGGTATCAACTGTGTCGGCTTAAGAACAAAAATAATACCAGAGGGGTGTCGTGTGGGCGCAATGTAACCGCTGAACGTGTGGTTCATGACGGGAATGGAGAATTCTTGGTCTTGTTGTTGGTACTGTGGTATTTTTCCTGTGTATCTTTCTCTTATCTGATTGTTACTACCGCTCTGCCGCATATTTTCAACATATTCCAGAGGAACGTTTTCTCAGGTTAGGTTCTTGGTAGTCAACGAGATATTCCGAAACTTGCATTTCAATTTCATCAGGAGTAAAATGTTGGAGTATTTGCAGTGATGTCTGCCTCATACCGAGCAGTTTCGTGGTGGTTCCTTGGTCTACTCTGGTGCGGTTTGAATCGGTATCGTAGAACGCAAGTGGAAAAGACAGCCCGCTGTGCTGTCTTCTCTCAAGTGCGTAACAAACCATAAGTGCATCAGTTCAGTTCTGACAGATGGTGTCAAGTCCACTGTGACGTGCGTTGCCGTTGTTGTTGTCGTTAAGTGCTAGTGCTGTTGATGTCAGCGTGCTCAAGCACGAACAACCTGGTCGTTGTCATTGTGGTCATCGTCATTTGTGTCTGTTGTTGTTGCTTTTGTATCAAGAATCGTCCAGGCATCTGCCCAAAGTTGTGCAGAGGCAAGGTTCGTAGGGATTTGCTAGCTCAGTCGTTCGATAAGCAAGGATAATACTACGTGTGAGAAGATGGACAAGACGAAACGCATTCACACACAACCTGTAGACAATAGACGGCGGATGGAGTACAGAACTCACGTAAAGCGGTATAGTGCATCCTGCTCCCGTTTGCGCTGCTCTTCGTCAATGCGACACGCAACGGAACAGGTACTGCTCTTGTCCTGGGAACTGTTCTCTTCTCCAGAGCGGTCTGGGACCTCATGCCAACTGTCTGCAATGCCATAGCGTTCACCGATGGCGTGTCCCTCAACCTTCTTATCTTGGGGAGAACCACGTCACCGTCCGTGGCCTGCATCGCAGACAGCGAATCCCAAGCGATAATTGTCAAGGAATTGACGGGCGGGGTGTTTCCCCAAAATAGTGTCTTCGAGAGTGTTGTTGTTTGGGTATGGCAGGGTATGCCAAAATGGAAGAACGTGTAGAAAACATGTGCGGAAATGACCGCGGATGATGAAAATCGAAGCGATGGTGTATGCGTGCGTTATTGGGCCCAGGATGTCGTGCAGTCCTCTAAAACATGACAGACACCAGACTAGTCTTGGCGCTGTCGCTGTGTGGCAAAAACACGACACTTTTCCTCTTCGAGCAATAACAAAATCTGGCCACAAACAACGCAGAACGGGTGCGGAAAAGAGGCGGTCAATAGGTCGCGAACCCTCAAACCGGAGGTCCCTGAACCGATTGACTCTTGTATCAAGAGAAAAATGGTTCGGAGAAGAAAGTAGTACATGGGGACACTTTTCATTCTGAAGCCAAGTCACCGTTTTTGGGGGGACACTTTTTCATACTGAAGCCAAGTCACCCTTTTTGGGGGGACACTTTTTCATACTGGAGCCAAGTCACCCTTTGTCTGGCAAGGAGCTCAGGTTCTTTGGAGGGGCTCTATCCCTTCGACCGATGGCTGACAAAAAAATTTGCGACATTTTGTTTTTGCGGAGGGACTGGGTACTAGGAGGGTTAAAAATGGCTACCCCTCCCGGTGGGGATGTGAGAACGACTTCACAGCAGGTCGTTCATGAAGCGGCGGTAGACCGACAACCCCACGGGAGCCTGGAGGTTAATGTAACCACAGGCAACTAAGTACGTTGAAGTGCACAGAGGTGACTACTCTGAGCATGGAGGGCGTGGATTGTATTATCGAGGTCATAGATATGTCACCACCTCTCGATTCCAATCCGCGGGTACTCGCATCGGATTCCTCCATCCGATGCCTACCTGGTGATTCTGATCACCACCAAGTGTGAGAAAGAGATCAGTGCCATTGCCACTGTGCCCGTGCGCCTAACTGCCACGATACGTGCCTAACGGTGAACTGCTGTGACCGCTGACTAACGGAGTGGAGATTGGATAGCGATTGCTTGCGGAGTCTTGCTGCGCTAACCTGCCTGATGCTTTGCCTGACATCGAACTCACAGTAGAGGTAAGCCAGATGGTCTGATGACATGAGAGCGTGCGTATGTCCGTAGATTACATGTAGCCATGAACAGACCGAGCTCCCAACTTCTACTGCTACATTCATACAAGGCACAAACCGATGACAGGATCGTAGCCAGCCAGGGGCAATTTGCACCGTGGGGGAAAGAGCTGCTGACACGGCGAGGGAATGCACGCTAAAGGTAATACAAGAACAGGCGGTATCCGATGCCCAAACAAGGTATTTTCACCGGGCAGCGGCTGAAGAAGGCGCTGTTGTTGCTGAAGCGGGCGCTGTTGTGGCCGAAGTTGGGGCTCCTCTGGATTCGTCGACGTTCCTCCTCCTCATCCCACGCATGAACGAGCTGTTGCTTGTACTTATAGACACCAGGAACCGCAGACGGCGTGATGTTCGGAGCTATAGCTGCCAGGGGCGAAGGAAATCTTGATCGGCCCAGGTTCGTCGAGGAAGCAAACGATGTAAAGGTCAGGAGTCGGGGTGTGCCGCGATATTTTTTGTCCCATCACCAGAAGTAGGCTCCGACGGGTATGTAGTCTATGGCGGTGGCGCTGAAGCGGTGGATGTAGGTGTCGCGCGTGACGTAGTAGATGTAGCCGGGTGAAGACGCACATTCTCCTTTGGCGCGGGAAAGTTCGCGAGCAGCCGCTCCTATGCGCATGTTGCGGTAAAGACGATTATTTTGGCTGTGCCGATCCGGTGTGCCACACTAGTAGCGAATGTGTTGTCGTGAGTGTTGTGTAAGTCCATCTCACGTTCGTGCCCAGGAGGGTCGAAGCTTGCCTTTCCGGTGTGTTTGGTAGAGAGCGGCGAGTACGCCGCCGCGTCCGCGAACAGTTTGATGGCCAGTGATCTTCTCTACTTTCAGGCGTGGAGACGTCATCCTCGGTGACATGGTACGGAGGGATTTGTTGGTGTAATTGTTGAGGACGTATCTTGTGAGGCCAGCAGGCAGAAAGCGCGGTATGTCAGTGGCATGGGCGTGATGGCACGGCTTGCAGCGTACTACGGAGACGCGGGGTTTGGCGTTCGTGCCGGGCATGTCGTTGGCCAAGTCTACGTAGATGATTTTGTCGGCGATCGGACGCCCATCTGGTGCCTTGTCGCTGGGACCCATGGCAAGAATTTTAGAATTTTGAAGGGCCCAGTCCAGCCTCACCGCCACGTGTGTCAGGTAATAACCACCGTCTTGTCTAGAATATTCCCGATCCGGGGGAGAAAGCAGCAAAAGTCGAATACCAGTTGGATTTTTTACCAACCGTGTATATCGTAGTAGATCGGCAAGTTTAACGTAGTTGAAGGGGTGAGTGCTGCTGTGTAAGACGGCTGGTCACGATATCTGCTGCTATCTCAAGCAGCCGAACAGTCGATCTCAAACAGATGCTTTGCCGCAACAAAAAAGACAGGGTCTACTGGTCTCGGCAATACTCTGGCTTGCAGCTGTAACACCCGTCGGAGAGCGAGTGGTCGTGACTTAGGGCTGGGAATGCGTATGGTGGTGGCGTGGAGGGTGGTCGAGGGTGGAGGCACAACACGCAAGACACGCCACACGCTACACCCTCTGTATGGAGCGAGGGTGATTTGATTGGCTGGTTTGAATTTGGCCCGCAATCGGTAGCGCCGCATCTCCGTAGAATGCCTCATGTAATTTTTGTTTTTGTGACGCTCCCGCACCCTTGTCTCTCTCGCTCTCTCCCTCTCTCTCTCTCTCTCTCTCTCTCTCTCTCTCTCTCTCTCTCTCTCTCTCTCTCTCTCTCTCTCTCTCTCTCAATCTCCGCACCAAACGACCTATCAGCTCACAAAACAACATCACCACGCGCGCCAAGCTCAAACTCTGTGGCCTTCACTGGTGACGAGCTGTTTCGCGTGGGAAACCACACCTTCGGGTGCAAAGGCAAGTACCAGGGATGGATGCGTAGGAGGTGTAAGGCGATCATGTCTACTGTTGTAGTCTTGATTGAGAGTGGCAGGGGCGGATCGACTCCGATTCCGATGATTCGAAGTGATGAAGGAGCAGATCTCAGAAGAAGTGAAGCATAGAGGTAGCAGCAGAAGTGTGGAAGCCATGTTTTTCTTTGTGTACGCGCCATCTTGTAGCGCTGCATCAGGCGTGCGTCGTTGTGTCGGGCGAGAGCCGCATGGCCGATGATGTACAGTAGGATCCACGGGCGGCACATCTATGGCGCCTCAGCTTTACCACTCGGTTGGGCTTTGAAGACAACAAAATCCGCTCTCTCGTGTACCCTACACGCACTCGTATGACCTGGGGGGGTCTCCCTGATCCCTCCGATAGGCACGAGTATACGACGGCCGGTGTCCTTGTAACGCAGCACTTCGTACTGATCCATCCTCAACAAAAGCGACACTACATGTGCACACCGAGTCTCCCCCAGTGCCCCTCCTCTCTCGAAGCAAACATCGTCAAGTCGTCTGAAAATCAGGCCTGAGATGCTCTTTGGGGGCTGCGCGCTTCAGCTGGCTGTGTGCATTGATAGTTGACATCATATTCGTCGCTATAGAAGACGAGGTACTCTATCAACATACAGCAATAGTACGTGCTGTAGATATTGCTGACGGATAGCGTTGTGGCGCAAAATTAAATTGCAGCATGAGGACCCATACCAAATATTGCCGCCGAGTAGCGTGGAGAAAAGGTTATAGTCGATTGTTCGCGGTTCTCACACCAGAGGCTGCAGGGGCTTGTTGTCTCGTTCAAACCTAACCGGCGCTTTATAACCGATCTTCTTAGTGCCTGGG